GCTGCGCCTTATAGTGCGGAAAATACGGTTAGTTTAAAAAGTTAAACAAAGGAAGAAAGTCAAATTGAAAGCACACCCCCGTCAGCGGAAAACGACTTTTTGGCTAGCCAATACGCCACGTGCATGTGTTTCAACCAAAAATGTCCACAATAATGCCCAGAGCAAAGCACACTATCTGAAGGAGACAAAGGTCAGCCCTCCCTCTTGAACTTTGCAATTCCTTTTCAGCAAGCACAAATGTCAAATCCTTGACGCTGATTAGTTTCGGATAAGTAAATATTGACAGATTGATTTGCCGTTCTCCTTTCTGACGACTTATTTCCTTTTCCTGTGTGCGCCACGTAACAAAGGCAACTATGCCTTCGAGGCAAGGTGTACACAGAATGTGGCGCTAATTTGTTTTGCCGACCAGGGCCAAATAGAATCAGGAAGAGAGACATGAAAATCTACTTAGCTGTTTTTAAAGATTCAAGTCAAGTACAAGTCTATTGTCAAACTTGTACTTGTCTTATTTTTGTGGGAGCTTGATTCAAATACCATTTCTGGCCTTTGTGATTTTATCCCCACAAGATAGCAGAAGATGAACATTTTGGCGGGTAGGGTGTCAATTACCTGAGGTTTTTTTTTTCTTTATGCAATTTGTGGAAGGGACTGGTCCACATCACTGCAAATAAAGCAAACAACATCATGCCGCACGACGCACCTAAATAGATTAGAGCTCTCATTGAAGTTATTAGTTGCACCTGCAACATTTCTCAAGAAGCTTCCGCTTCACCGGAGTGGACAAAATCATCCATCCTATTGAATATTTTAGTTATTAAAAGGAAGAAAAAAATGACTGCAGGGTAACATCAGACCTTGTCCTTGTATTTTCTTGCATTGTATTTTTTTTTTTTAATTGAAGCAAATGCGAGCCAGAGCTTTGCCAAGGATTTCTCCAGTTAACCTTGTGACATGAACCGAAAATGGTAAGCGAATCCCACAAACGTAAACAATATATATATTTCCAGAAAAACGTATAAACGGAAAACACTGGCAACACAAAACCAGGAAAAGCCAATATGAAAAAAAAAATAAAAAAACGGCTGCAAATGGCAAGGGAATTTTGATGCCTGAAAATACACAACACAAAATGGCAAAAGTTCAATTACACGAAACTTAAATAATCCACGAATAACAAGAAATCCAAAAATACTTCCTAAACATGAAAACTACAGAAACAAGAGCGACTCTAACCATGAATGAGGCATCAAGAAAATGTCTTTTGAGTAAACAGCAATCACGGTCAATAATCCGACAGTGTCTAAGCACCTTGGCGGTCCTTAAATACATGGCAAGGATTGATGCACAACGAGAAACAGGTGCACCACGGAAGAGGAACGCCCTCCACTCCAGCTGGTGCGGAAAACAAAGACGGAGCAGAATATGACACCATGTTGGCTTTCAACAATTAAAATACACTGCGGCAAAATGTCTTTTAGCACCAAACTTGCATGTAATAAGCCCAAGCATGAACCAGAGGATCAATTTTCCAATGCGCGACACTGAATCTGTCTGATCGGTTGATAACAGTTAAAGGGTGTCACCGCCTTGCCGCCATTTTGAATACATTTTAGAAGCGGCTTCGTTCATTCTCACCCATCTCAAGGACTTAACTTGTAAACTTGTAAATCATATTAGCGCTCGGACATGTTGTGCTGCTGACTTTTTTCAACTCTTTTTCTTCTCCTCCCTCCTCACTCAATGTTTGATGGCGATGATTAATGAAGCTCATACTAGGTTTCACCTTTGGACAAAAAAAAAAAAAAAAATGCACATGCCCTTCACTGTCATTCACCGGCATTAAACGGGCCATTTGTTATTATTGGCAGTGATCAAGGGCAACCAATTTTTTCGTAAACAATTTTTTTAGGTCAACATCAAAATGAACACATTAAAATAGGAGCCATAAATTTCATCTGTGTACATTTGACAATAAAGTTGGACTTGATACTTGATACTCGATAATTGTAATACAAAATATATACAAAATGACCAACTGAAAAGCAGGTGTTGAAGATACTATATTTGAAAGACCACACACACTGTGTACATGGGGCGGCATGGTGAACAAAAGGTTAGACCTGAAAATGGATGACCCAAAAAAAATAAAATAAAATAGATGACTTATAGGGGAACCCTGTGGTACACACACTCTCAAAATCTTAAAATCTGAATCTAACCAATCAAAGAGCACCAATAAAAATGTGATAACGCAACTCGTGTTTCAGTGATATGTCCTCCTTAATAATGCTCCCATAATTTTCTCTCTCCTTTGAATAGGTTTAAAGTGCGCATAGAGTCAACATGATCCAATTGTATTTTCTTTTTTGAGTGTATGTATTTAAAAAAAAAAAAAAAGAGAGAGAGAGATGAGATATCTGCTCATGTTACAGAGGGATCTTTTTCCAATCAAGTTACTGACGTCAGCAGCCACACTTCACACTGACAGTTAGCTTTTTGATATGTATATTACTGTCAATTATCATCCCGGTTTCACTCGCCCATTATCCGCAATTAGACCACAAGAGAACTTTTGTGATAATTGCCCGCCCTCTCTGGATAGATGAATTTGCATTTTCGCTCGTGGTCCCCCTCCAAGGCAGAAAATCTATTAGGCCAATGAGGGACAATTGGCTTTAAAAGGATCCCGCTGATGACAGAGTGCTTGTATTGCTGCTGTGTATGTGTACGTGTAAATGTGGGTGGCCAATAATTTCTGTTGAAGTGATGTGTTTGTATTTTGTCAGTTCGCCGCCACCACATTTGACAATGAAGTACTCATCGACGTTTTCACTCTTGTTTTAGGCCACTGTAAATTATGAGGTGTGCCAGAAAGGTTCCAGGAACGATGTGATGAATAGTGGCAGTTTCTGGCATGTGCAAAATGTGCAGCACACTGCGATTAATTAACCCTTTCATCCACCAATAATGATAACATGTAACCTGATAATAGGCTGTCCATTGTAGTAACCGCTGTCCCTGACAGGGTTTAAAAAAATACATATGAAATTGTTTTGTTCCGTAAAATATGTACTTGTAAATGCAAACAGCAAGAGTTGAACAAGTACGTTGCGGCAGACTGTATTTTTGCTTTTTATGCTGCAAACCGGCCCCCCACACACAATCAAACTATGACATGCGAGAGAAAGAGCGCTTTGTGAAGCAGCCACAGAAACAAAAGGTGAATACCCCAGGGGGGATTATTTTGGAGGGGAAAACTTGTAGCTTGGAGTTGAAATTGAATTTGGTTTGGGACATCAGTCCTGAAAATTTTCTGACAGACACGATGGTAAATATATTGTGACATTATTACAAAACCAAGCTTTTCTCCTACTGTGAAGCTGTTGTGCTCCGATGGCTGAGCAAGTGTATCTGCGTCGACGGGTAATATCTATACACTCCAGCAGTCAGTGATTGCACACACATACACTCACTCTTCCCTGACCTTTGCGGCGTGTTATTGTCAACAACTACATGATGGAATTTTTCCTGGTAACAATCTACTTTTAATGCAAACACAAACACAGAAAAAAATGATAATAATAATACATGAGTCAATGGATGTCAACATTTGTACATGAGGAACCTTTTTGATTCCGTGTGATATATAACTCATGTAAGGCAATTTGTATCATGTTTATTTAGGTATAATTAATCCATATTTTGCTTTATTTGTATCTATTGTACATTGATTTCTTTTTTGACGGCGCTTCTGATAATAAATAATTAGATTTTTTTTTTTCATCATCTAATTAGTTTTAGTTCAGTCTATTTTCATTATCAGTCAAACCAAACTGAGTCCCATGTTTCTTATTCATGTCCAGGACCTACTTAATCATATTTTGTCATAAATATTTCTCCCATGTGTGCTTGTACGTATTTACTTTACCCGTTTACTGTTGTTTATTGGTGGGTTATTTTATTTACTGTAATGTGTGTGTGCCATCTGCTGGTGGTTTGTATAAAAAAGGTCACTTCAGGATTGCTGCACACTGTGCTGGTGACACATGAACTCCAACTACCCAAACAAGCAGCTTGCTAACAACCAAACTCTCCCTAAAGTCCTAAAATGCCTTTTTTCCACTTCAGCTGTTTTTTTTTTTAACTGCTTGATAGATAAGACAGCTGGCTACATAGATAAATAGCTAGCTAGACAGCTAGCTAGCTAGACAGCTAGCTAGCGAGATAGATTGATAGACAAGGTAGCTAGATAGATAGATGGAACTGGAGAGAGGAAGACAGTTACCCGTAAAGCCATAAAACACTTTTATTCTCTGTAACAATTGTCTTTGGAAGCATGATGTTAAACATTAAACCAGGCGAGGCCCAACCGTCAGATTCTGAATCAGATTTGTTGGCCGAGTATGCAAAACACAAGGAATTGATTCCCCCCGTTACGACCCGACCACAGAGGTGACATTAGGTGAATGCAATAATGCACTTTATTAATGATTAACAGTGTTGCCTCCGGTACCTTGAAAAAGTAATCTCATTGCTGATTACTCTTTTCAAAGTAAGTTTACTAATTACTTGATTTGAAAGTGCCTGATTTTATCTTTGACGATTACTTGATTTTGAAAAGTAAGAGTACAGTTACTTTTTTAGCTACATTCAAGGACTGCATCAGGCAAATCAAGCAGGATACGTACTGTACATGTTATCAGACCCAACTTATCGGTGAACACAATAACACAATACAAACCATACTTACGGATATGATCCGTTGCACTTGCTAAACTAATTTATCGGCGTATTTAGCAGTATCCTAACTTAGCTCACAACTGTTAGGTACGACGCGGATTTACCTTTCTACCATCATTTTTAAACTTGGCATTGGATTTTTCAAATCAGCATCTATTATATGAGAGTTAACAACTGCTAACAGCCTGGTAAAATATGAGATATGATTAAATGACAGATGAGTTGTCTTCTTCGGTGTGATTGGTGGAGAAACTAACCTTTGCAGTCTTCTGGTGATGAGCGAGGATGCCGATTGGCTGTTTAGGAGGTGTTCCGTTCCGGTTTCTTATGGCCGTGCACTGGAATAGAATAGAAGTTTTGTGTACACAGGCTGCATAAACACACAGAAGTTCCTGCAGTCATATCACCTGCGCGCTCATTCGGTGCAGCTTATGCAACAGTTCACTCACACGGCAACTCATTCCAACTATTGACATGCAGTTTTTTGCTCTGTTTTCAAGAGCAATACGTGCTTTGGGTGACATCGGAAATTCTAAAGGGTCCCACTAAACAAAAGTTGTATCATTACACGAGAATAAAAATTCAATTCTCTTACGGCAATCGGAAGCTGTGGGAGATGAGCAGCTTGATGTTTCTCACTGAAATCTTGACGACAACATTCAAGAGTTTAGAGTGTGCGCGATAAGATAAACAGCTGCTGCCGACACCAAACGTCACACAGTTTGAATACTACCACGAACCAGTTATACTGGTCACTTCCAAAATTTAATTGAATATTATATATGGCAATACTTGTCATCTGTCTGTCTATAAAGAAAATTTTGTTTTAAAAATAGCGGGCTCATGAAATATAGACAGATACTTTGGACATTCTATGTGACTAAAACAATAAATTTTGCAGGCTAACAGCTAACAAGCATAAATTCCAAGTATACAAGAAGCAACAATGTGATAAAATGTGACGCTTTTATCATGAGTCAATTCTTTTGGTTGAAAAAGAACTAGCTAGCTAGTTAGCTAGCTATTTTAGTGCTTATGTAGCAAAGTGATGGATCATCTTGACACCTGAGGTAACGAAGATATTTACACGAGTAATCCACTACGCTTCACAACGGATTTGAATGTTTTCCTTCCCAGTTTACTCGCAGCATTGAGGTTGAGGGAAAAAAAATTGTTTGATGGATCAATTTAGCAAAGCCTCTGGCAGGTCTCCCTGTGTTAGCGGCGTCTCAATCCCCCCCGCTAATCTTCACCGCGCGGACGTGCTGCTCGTTGGAAGCGTGGCGGCTTCCTGTCTTTTCTTCTTCTTCTTGATCATCCCTTTTAAAAAAAAACACGTAGCATTTCCACGCTAACTATAAGGAATAAACTTTGAGTGTGTTTTCTATTGATTATGACACGAAGAAATAACACCAACATGGCAATTTTTCAAGATGACTGTCCGTAACGTTTAATTTTATATGGTGCAGTACAAAAACAAGCTGAGCGTGCGTCACTTGGGTCAAACATTGGAAAAACCTGACTTAAGGCCTGTCCATTGAGACATGAACAAATATTTGTCAGATGAACCCTTGCATTACTTCGGAGAAAAACAATGATTAGCATCACATATGTCTGGCGTGTATTTAACATATATTTTGATGCTTTTTTTTTTTTTTTGAGGGGGGCGTATTTTTTTTTCTTCAGATGAGATTTTTGTTGAATGAGCCGCACACAATTGACTTCACTTGATAGCAAAATGGAAACACCACGCAACAATTTGGTTTGTTTTGAGGTCACGATGGTACAATGACATACTTTACATGTACTGTACATGCCGTAGCACTGATAAGCAATCATTCTCTCTGCTGCCAAGAATGAGAACGAGAGCAACATATTGAATAGGGGGAAGACTTACACTTTCTGTCCTGAGGCGGAAAAACATATTAAGGTCAGATTTCTGCCACGGTGTAGTAGTAGTAATCACATGCAGCTATTCTTTTGCTATGCTCCACTATTTTCCACTTTTGGTGTAGTGCAGAGGCTCCAGTGAATTCTCCGGGTGAGCATACGGACAGCTGAAATGAGAGAAAAAAAAAAAAAGAAATATGACTGATATGGAAGACTGGAAAAGTGGAAAGAATGTTTGAGAAAAGGCTGGGAGTGAGGCCAAGCATTTTTTCTTTATAAAAGCCGGGAGTAAAAAAACTGAAAAAAAAAAAACAGTTTAGCCACACAACTTTGAGAATAGAAGACAAACATTGGGACCTTTGCGATGCAGATCGTGCAGCACAAAACTGTGACATTTATACTTCACCTCTTTCTAGCATTTCTAAGAAAAGCCATTCTGCTTGCCCTGGAACAAATCTTAAGCGCTCGAATGAAATGAGAGTCTGGGCTTGTCGGGTATGCAGCACAAACATCCAGAATCCCATTCAGGAAGCATACCACAAGGAATAAAATAGCGGATTTATCTCTAAAATGGAACGATGACACGGTTTACAACTCCAACTAAGAAAGTCAGCAGAATGAAACAAGCTCCCTCGCTTGTGCAGGCACGGTCCTTTGAGACCAGATGTGGCACAATCGTCGAATGCTAATACGGGTGAGCTGAAAAAGTCACACTTCCGTGCTTACAGAGACATTTTGACTTTTAAATGGGAGTTCTCTTAACTCGATTTCTCTCTTTATGAAGCCTCTGACAAGTAATGTTCATTAGAAATGTTACAAAGAAAGACAGCAGCTCAGCATCTTTCCTAATATTAGCAGGTTACTTCCTGGGTTATGTTAGGAATGGACAAATGAGACCATGAAAATAGTTTCGTTGTGACTAAAAGGTGGAACAAAACAAAAGGATCAAGAAATCGTAGGTTGCTGAATTTGTATTGGTGGCTGACTTTATTGATGTGTTGTTCCGTATGAACTGTTTGGTTTGACACAGACAGGGGTGGGGGTCATGTGATCATGTAGAAGTGGGCCATCTTCTTGCAAAAACATGTTTCCCTGTCATTGCTGAATAAAGGACATGGCCCGGGCGTTGAACTCACATGATACGCATGGTTATAGGATGTGCAGCCTGACACGCACGCCACACCTCCCTGTGAACTCTCCTGTAGTTCAACAACAAGAGCGGCTTGACACCACATCGTACCACTGACCTCGTTCACAAAAGGCTGCTAGACTATAAAAGGTATGTGTGTGTGTGTGTGTATGTGTGTGGGAGATACAACAGTTGGTCTGCAGAGGAATAGGACCGTTTTACCACAGGTATGTGCACCTTTTGTCTGTTTGTTGTGCTACTAATTTTGGCCAAATGCTTTATTTGTGGGAAATTTGACAAATAAAATTGATGGCTCAGTATGCAAATTTTCACAGAAGTGAAAACGAAAAAAAAAATCCTAGTTCGACACCTTTGGCAGGTCTGTTACAATTTTTTTAAGGTTGCTTTTATTTCTTGATAAATTGCGTGCGATACCATTCACGGATGGTACATTTAAAACTATATTCTATTACATCAAAATCAATATTTCGATTAAAATGGGTTTTCGTTACAACCCTAATTTATATCAAGACTTGAAAATAAGCGATTTGGGCAGGCAACATTTGCATTCTGAGCCTCATCACAACAAATTGGACAGCAAAATTGAGAGTTAACAGCAGAGTTGTCACAAAAAACGCTGCACCAGACGCGAGCATGTCAGTCACATCACCTTTCACTGGTCATCGGAGGTCAAGGCAAACTGTGCTTATTAAATCGCACCAGCGAGCTAGTAACTAACTTCGATTTTGTGAATAGATTATTTATTCTGAAAATAGCTGAGCATAGGTTCCACGGGTAAAAACCATGAACTGTTGTTGTGGGTGTCATTGTATTGCACTTTCTTAACTTTTAAAATTCAAATCAAATCGCATTTTTTTTTAAAAAGTATTTTTTTTTTTACATTTTTGTTGGAGTTGATGGCGTGTTCCGACTTCCGCTTCTCCCCCCGCCCCCTCTTGTTGTTTTCATAACTTTTAAAATTCAAATCAAATCGCATTTTTTAAGTATTTTTTTTACATTTTTGTTGGAGTTGATGGCGTGTCCGACTTCCGCTTCTCCCCCCGCCCCCTCTTGTTGTTGTGGCGCATGGGAAGGTGGGGTGAAGTGACGTCACCTCACACACCGCCCTCTGATTGGCCCCTTTTGCTCACCCGACACAGCTGTCTGTGGTGGTGTTGTCTGACGGAGAGAGAAGCTGTTTATCTGTTTACCACCAAGACGTGTTTATAGATCTCTCTTTTCATCTCTCCTCGCTACCGTGCTGACAATAATGTGAAGAAACTACTACATGGTGGTGGGGAAAAAAAAAAGATTATAACCAAAAACTGGCGAGTGCAAGACTGGAGCGAAAGATCAAGGTAAAGCTCTCAGCGATTGTGTTGGTCGTAACGTCACGATGCAATGTGTTTGTCTTACTTTGTTTTTTTATTTAACCCTTTCTTTTTCTTCTTTAGTGCCAAATGTCCACCCTGGAGGAGCACTATTGGAGCTGCTCCCGTGCGCCGCAGTTGGAACGCGAACACTCGTCGACGTCGTCTGCGGCCAACTGGTTAGCATCCAAAGGCGAGGAAATGATGTCAATCATCACATCGGTGCTGGGCAGCGCCTATAGCTCGCTGCACCGCCACCGGACGGTCAACTTGATCCGCCGTGGCCTGGTGCTCTTCGCCGTGGGGGTCATCCTCGCCCTGGTGCTCAACTTGCTGCAAATCCAACGCAACGTCACGCTCTTCCCCGAGGAGGTGATGACCACCTTGTTCTCGTCCGCCTGGTGGATTCCACCGTGCTGCGGCACCGGGGCAGGTGAGTTGCGGTTGTTGTTGTGATAATAAACTACATTCAAATCACCTGGGTTGGCTGCTGTGTTCCATATTAAAGTGGAAGTAAATCAGCCATTGTTCAACAGTGCGTGCGTGACTTTTACAACACTTTCGAAACGATCAACTATTGTGGAAGAGGTCACTTGCGGAGAATCATGGGGCAATGATTCATCCCTTGGCAACGTTGTTGATGGACATTATATAAGTTGTCCTCCCGGGCTTTTTTTTATGGTGGGCTTTTATCATATTTGTAAGGCACGTAAGGGTTAAAGGGAGCTCACACCGTGCTTATTTCGAGATCCTCGTCTCCCATTGGCTGCCGCGAGCAGGACGTGAAGCGAGCCGCGCGTTCATTGGTTAGAGTCATAACGGGTGACTGGAGGGGCGGGTATTTGGAGGGAAAGGCTTTGTTCGAAGGGAAAGAGACGGGAAGTGGGGTGGGACAACATGATATGGTTTCGATATTGTTATTCGCCAAATACGTTCGGTTAGTTAACTTTTTCAGGGCTCACGACACTCAAACTTGCAGTGGACAGGCTACAAAACTATGCGTTTTACTTGAAAAATAAATAGTACATGTGATTTTGATGGTTTTCAAATGAGTTATATCTCCCACTATTGTCGTCAACCCAATTTTAAACAGCCAAGCATAATGCTCTCTTCGAGTGTGAAAAAGTTGAATAATAATTACGAGTATATTGGACGGATTGGTCTGGCTTTAAAAATCACCCAAATCTGATTTCTGATTGTAACCGACTGTGGTTTCCCCTGCTTTGTTTGTAGAAAAAGTCATTACAATGACGTCAGCAGAAAAAGTCATTACAATGACGTCATTCAAAATAAATGTTGCTTTAAAAGCGTATTTTTCTTTGCATTTGCTTCCACAAAAATAAAATAAAACCTTCCATAGTGTGGCTAAATGAAATACTTTTGCAGCATGTGAATGGGGACTGATTCCCTTCCACTGGGCTACTTTTTTGGCTTTGGTGAAACAAAAAATTGCGCCACTTGATTCATGTAAAGTTCACAAATGTGTTCAGATTCGAAATAAATGGCGTAATGTTATTTCTTCATCTTAATGTGTCTGCTCAGCAAGTAACACCGCTGCGATAGCAATATTTTTTGCTTGTCATATGAATTGTTGTTCCTTTTTTTCCCTCCCACCCCCGCAGCGGTAGTGGGTCTGCTGTACCCGTGCCTAGACAGCCATCTTGGTGAGCCACACAAGTTTAAGCGGGAATGGGCGAGCGTCATGAGGTGCATCGCCGTCTTTGTGGGCATCAACCACGCCAGCGTTGTATCCTTCCAGCAACAGTTGCCAATTAACATGAATGTCCTATCGTAAACTTCCAGGAGGCGCTTGTCGGTTGTACAAATATTTGAGGCTCAATTTGTCCCTAACTTGGCGCTCCGAAACAGAAACTGGACATTGACAACAGCGTGCAGCTGTCGCTCACCCTGGCCGCCCTGTCGCTGGGCCTGTGGTGGACCTTCGACCGCTCGCGTAGCGGCTTCGGCTTGGGCGTCACCACGGCCTTCCTTGCCACCGTTTTTACCCAGCTGCTGGTCTACAACGGTGTCTATCAGTACGTAAACACACCAGGAAGCACATAGGAACAAATTTAAAGTCGGAATTTATGAAAAGAGAACACAATACACCTTGGAAGCGAACATGGTATGCTAAGTTGCACATCGCAACATTACATCCAATTTAGAAGAAGAGAACACAATGGCACAGGGAGGGAAACACGGTCAGGAGCCACACGTCACTTCTAAAGATAACATTCATTAGAAAAGAGCTCCACCACGTTCCAAGTGACCTTTATAAGAACACATAACTGTCAGATGACCATTTCAACATAGTTCACATTAGAAGAAGAGAGAGCTAGGTGAGCACACGAGGAAATGCATCGCAACCTCACACCCAAGTGAATCGTTTACGGGAAGAGGAAACAGGGTAGCGCAGAAGCAGAGAGCAACGTCAACATCCAAAGTTACCTTTTGTGAGAAGAGAATGTATGCATTGTTTTCTCCTCTCTTGATTTGTTTTTCCCCAACTGTGTCAGCAAGATCATCATTTAATTGCGTCTTGGTGTGATTGCAGGTACACATCTCCCGACTTCTTGTACGTGCGCTCCTGGCTGCCGTGTATTTTCTTCTCTGGTGGCGTCACCGTGGGAAACATCGGCCGCCAGCTGGCAATGGTACGTCCCGGTGGCTGTTGTCCCCCACCTGTTTTAAAACTCAAATCGATGAGGTTTTTAATTTTAAACGGGGCGTTTGGGGCCGGACGACAAGCGGTCACTCCGGTAACCGTTACCACCACCCGAAAATGTTGCTTGTTTCTAGGTATCAGATAATTTTTACTGGAGCACAGCTGTAAATTTACGAGAAAAGCGATTGTGTCATTCACACGTTAACCTTTTCATGCACCAATTTCATCGTGTACAGCTTAGAAGTTTGTTTTTTTCATGCGTCTGAACATAATTTGACATTTCCTCCCACAGGCCGGAGTGGAGAAGCCGCATAGCGACTGAAGGCAAACATCACAAAAAGACCCCCCCTAAAAAAACACTTGTGTGGTTTGAGGGAAGAAAAAAAAAAGCCTTTTGTCCAGTGTGCCATGTGACCTTGCAGAGGCACCACCCAGCCCACCCCAACGAAGGAAATGACAGGACACACTTTGCCTCTTAGTCTTTTTTTTTTTCTCTTCTAATTTTACTTCAAAGCTGGTTTGACTTTGACTTGACAACGATCTTTTAAAAGGGAAACATTCTGGATTTCTTTCTGGCATGTGATGACTTCAAACCCTTTTGGGGGGACTTTCCATACTTTTTTGCCTGCCTTTTTTTTTCTTTCTTTTAAGTGACTGTACCTTACAACGCGCAGGAATGAGGAGCAACAGGAAATTTACACAGGAGTGCCAATTTGGCTAGTACATGACTAGCATCGCATCTGAAAAAAAAAACCATCTGCTGTATTTCCTTATGTGCTTCGAGCTACTCCAGCATCGTGACAAGAGACAAATGCTGCTTTGCATCAACCAGTCTCGAGTGTGACGCCGGGACACATTTTGCGTTTTTTATACACTTGCGAGATTGTATCAGAAGTGTTTAAAAAAGCAAGATTGTATCAGAAGTGTTTAACAAAAAAAATTGGCCCCAGAATTTCCTGCTGTGGTTCCGATTTAATTAGCAGGTGTTGTACTAATCAGCCAGCATCATTCTCAGTCAGACACCAGCAAATAGCCAGTATTACAGGAATAGCTGAAAACTCAGAAACTAGTCAGTGTACGGAGGGAATGAAAGTCAGATATTGGTTGATGTTGAAGAAACGGGACACAAAGTAGCATCAATGTACAATGGAATTTCGAGATTGGCTGATAAGACAGTGTCACTGGAATAAAAGTTGGCAGACATTTGATGATGCAGAAAAACAGAAGGAAGTATTCTGCTTCAGGGACCAGACATTAGCCGATATCTGGGAAATTTAAACCAGAAAAGAAACAGAATATTGGAATTTGCCAATATTTCGATAACAAAGATCACAAAAAGGTTACTGGTGCAAGTAAAATAGAACCCCAAAATTTAAACTAGAGGAATTAGCCAGTGTCAAGCTGAAGTAGAAATTAGATGTTAGCTAGCTACAAGTTGCAGAGACCAGAATTTAGCCTGTATCGGAGGAGTGGCCCCTGAAATGAGCTGGCGTCAGAAGAGCAAATGTCGAAACTAAGCCAGTATTCGGGGGAGAAGGAGGGGGGTCATGGAAGTCAGGCCGTAATTGGTCTTGGTGTCATCGGAGCCCTAGAGATGAACTAGGGGAGCGAAAGAAGCCAAAAACGTATTGGAGGGCAAGGCTCCAGGAACTAGCCAGTATCCAAAGAATGGCTTTCTCGATGACAGATGGTGTTTATCTGTCAAGTGTTTTTTTTTTTTTTTTT